TGGACTGGACAAACCAGGGCTCTGCTCCTGTGGGGCAACGCCCAGGGACAGAACTAAACGGTGTTCAGAGTCCTGCCCCATGGGCAGTAGCAGAGGAGGGACAGGGTACTTGAGAGCAGAGGAGCTAACTCTGATTTTGCTGTCCCGTCTCCTAACCCCAAACCTCTTGCAGGAAGAGAGAATGATGGAGGAGAGAAGGTGGGGGGAGCGGAAACAGCATGTCCTGTACTGAGCAGGCTGCTTGTTGTGCAGGAAGGAAGGTGAAATGTAAAGCAAACTCCTGTTTTACCTCTCTACCTGGGCTGGGCTCTTGTGGGGTTCTATCACTTATCTCTGCTCTCCACTCTGCCCTGAGAGCCACTGCTCACTCAGCCTGCACCCCACTTCTCTGTCCTCTGACCTCGTATCCCCTCATTCCTCCACATGTCACCCAGAACACATCAGTCTATTCAGCTTCCCCTGGGGCTTCCTTTGGTTTTCCCAGCAGGGTCCTTCAGTCCCTTCTGGGAGAAATGAGGGTCTTAACTAGCATACTTGTTCGGGTCTAAACTCACCGCATAGACTCATTTAATGGTAGGAACAATCATTTCTCCTTCTCCACTCCCCTGCCAACCAGCCTTTCACCCACAAGGCAACCGCTTTGCTTTTCTCCTGGTTTTACGGGGGGGATTTTCTCTTCTCCCCATCCCACTGCCTGGTCCAATCAGGAATCCCGCCCTCTTCCTGACAGGCTTTTACTACCTTGGCTACCCTCGACACGCACACTTTCCCAGGTGTGGCCTCTCTTTGCCACTGACCCTCAAACACCGTCCAGCATGCAATCTAACTCTCAGCAAACCATGCAAATGTGATTGCTGGGGAGAGCTGTGCAACAGTTTTGTCCCACCCTTGCCCAGCACCTTTCATTCAGAGATCTCCAAGCGCTTTACAAACCATCATTAGGGCTCATAATATCCATGCAGGCTAAAAAAATCAACAGTACTTCCATCTGACAGCTGGGTGACCACAGGGCCAAGTTCACTCACTGAACGGCCCTGGGCTGATGCCAGGAATGAATCTGCTCCAGAGGCGATATGGCATTTTCAGTGGAAAGCCCTCACCCTGGAATTCACGTCCCCCACTGGCCTTGCAGAGGCACAGCTTGCACTGTTTGACATGGCGTAAAGCCCACCTCCTTGAAGAGGTCCGTGTGTGAAGGGTGCTGGGAGCAAGTGAGGATGTGGGTAATTGCATTGGAAAATGCACTTTGGCTCAGGACAAAAGTAAAAATGGCATCATGGCATTCCATGGATTTATTTTTTTTACATTGTTTTTACTCCAGATCAAATGTGATCAGTCTTCATGTAAAAAGCAAGAGATTTACTCATTGCCATCCCTGCAAACACCACTAAGGGGACCAGAGTAAAGCTGGAGTCTTTTCATCTCCTGCATCATTCCCAGGAATTCCATTGCACTGTACTGGGATGCAGGAGATCTAGGTTCAATGCTCAGCCCTGCCACAGACTTCCTGGGTGACCTTGCGCAAGTCACTTAATCTACTCTGTGCCTCAGTTCCCCAGTTGTCCAATGGAGACAGTGCTTCCCCCGACTCAGAGCTGTTGTGAAGGTGCTTGAAGACAGTGATGACAAAGGCTCTATAAGTACCTAGATAGATTCATGTTACTGGAGTAACTGATCGGTCTTGCATGGAAGCTTTGCAACCAATTCTATTTATGGAACACAAGAAGGAGTGGAATCCAGTTCACGCTGGGTTACTGGGAGTAAAAAGCAAGAAGAAATTATTTTTCGCACTAAAGTCAGCAGCTCTGACCCTGAACACAGCCAAGTGACAGTTCAAATATTGTTATTATGTAGTCCCTTTTCACAGTAGAGCTTCACTTAAAAAGTAACTTGCAACATATTTTGTATTCAGCATTTTAAAAACTGAGGGGAGGAAAGTCAGTGATTAGGCTGGATATAGAACCCAGGAGTCCTGGCCCATCCCAGGCCCCTGCTTAGCCATTTTACAGAACAGGCCGGCAAATTGCAATGAAAATGTTGCAGGCATTTTGGAAGTTAGAGAGGCACCAACTCAAAAAAAAAAAAAATCACAATGGCCTGCACTATATTTACCTGCTACTGTTTCAAACAACACTGAAGATGACAATGGCCCTGAGCCAAAGCACATTTAAGTCAATCGAACCGTCCTGTTAATATTAGTGAGCAGTGGAGCTATTCCTTGTAACTGAAAGGGATTAGAGAGAGACACATTTGTTTTTAGTGTATTTATTGTGTGTGCACGTTGTGCTTGTTAGGGGCTTATTCCTTCACCCGCTCACTTCCCTGGTCCTTCTCGCATGAACAGAGAGCAACAATACACGAAGTCCAAAGGTGCAAACAATTTGATGTTTATTGGGGTGAACTTCCAGCAAGCATGATTCCAGTTTCCTTCCTCAGTGTCCCCCTTCCCAGCTCTGACACCACAGAGCCTTACACCTGTGTCCCTGTTCCCATTCCTGCCCTTAGCCAAACATGATTCCAATTTCCCAACCCCCATTCCCTGTTCCCATTCCCCCCCCTTACTTCCTGATTGACTGCAGACTATGTAATAAAACTTGAGTTCTGCTTAGCTATACCTTAACCAATCGTTTTCCTGAAATTTAACTAACCAATCCCAACATATTGTAACATGATTATTTAACCAATTATATCCCACCACCTTAATTAGTTTACACCCAGCAAAATTAATTACACAGCAGACAGAAACAATCACAAAACCAGACAGAGACCATGCAAATAAATAACAGCAAAGTGGGAACTATAATGACAAAACAATACAGAAGTGAGGATTTCACAACTACATCTATAAAGACATCCAATGAATGTAGCTCACAAAAGTTTATGCTCAAATAAATTTGTTAGTCTCAAAAGTGCCACAAGTCCTCCTTTTCTTTTTGCGGACACAGACTAACACGGCTGCTACTCTGAAAAAAGACATAAGGATTTCCCAGCTGTGTCTATTGATAAGTGAGTTCTTACCAAACAGAAAACTATCAGACTAAACTTCCTTTTACATCTTCTAGGCACTTCCCTTTCTCTGGAGGCGATAGGCATTATCAGGACAGGATTGTATTTCTAACAGCCCAATAGCACCTTATTTCAATGAGACTAGTTTGGAATGTGAGGATGTGACCGTTCGTTTCCCAGCTTATGGCTGCCTCTGCTGCTTAGCCAAAGATCTTAGCCTAAGGGTACGTCTACACTACAAAATTACTCCGATTTTACAGAAGTCGATTTTTGGGAACAGATTGTATAAAGTCGAGTGCATGCGTCCACACTAAGCACATTAATTCAGCGATGTGCGTCCACAGTACCATGGCAAGCACCGACATTCTGAGTGGTGCACTGTGGGTAGCTATCCCACAGTTCCTGCAGTCCCCGCTGCCCATTGGAATTCTGGGCTGAGTTCCCAATGCCTGATGGGGCCAAAAATTTGTCACGGGTGGTTATGGGTAAATGTCGTCAGTCAACCCTCCCTCCGTGAAAGCAACGGCAGACAATCATTTCGTGCCTTTTTCCCTGGATTGCCCAAGCAGATGCCATAGCATGGCAAGCATGGAGCCCGTTCAGCTCACTGCAGCAGTTATGACCATTGTAAACACCTCGCGCGTTATGGTGCAGTTTTTGCAGAACCCGAACCTGAAAAACCAGGCAAGGAGGCAACGGCAGCGCAGTGACGAGAGTGATGAGGACATGGACACAGATTTCTCTAAAACCACGGTCCCTGGCAATTTGGAGATCATGGTGTTAATGGGGCAGGCTCATGCCGTGGAATGCTGATTCTGGGCCTGGGAAACAAGCACAGACTGGTGGGACCGCATACTGTTGTAGGTTTGGGATGATTCCCAGTGTCTCCGAAACTTTTGCATGCACAAGGGCACTTTCATGGAACTTTGTGACTTGCTTTCCCCTGTCCTGAAGCGCAAGAAATACCAGGATGAGAGCAGCCCTCACAGTTGAGAAGCGAATGGCAATAGACCTGTGGAAGCTTGCAATGCCAGACAGCTACTGGTCAGTCAGTAATCAATTTGGAGTGGGCAAGTCTACTGTGGGGGTTGCTGTGATGCAAGTAGCCAATGCAATCATTGAGCTGCTGCTATCAAAAGTAGTGACTCTGGGAAATGCGCAGGTCATACTAGATGGCTTTGCTGCAATGGGATTCCCTAACTGTGGTGGGGCTATAGACAGAATGCATATCCCTATCTTGGGACTGGACCACCAGGGCAGCCAGTAAATAAACTTCAAGGGGTACTTTTCAATGGTGCTGCAAGCACTGGTGGATCATAAGGGACGTTTCACCGGCATCAATGTGGGATGGCCGGGAAAGGTTCATGACGCTCGCGTCTTCAGGAACTCTGGTCTGTTTAAACGGCTGCAGGAAGGGATTTACTTCCCAGACCAGAAAATAACTGTTGGGGATGTTGAAATGCCTATAGTTATCCTTGGGGACCCAGCCTACCCCTTAATGCCCTGGCTCATGAAGCCGTACACAGGCACCCTGGATGGTAGAAAGGAGCTGTTCAACTATAGGCTGAGCAAGTGCAGAATGGTGGTAGAACGTGCATTTGGACGTTTAAAGGGTCGCTGGCGCAGTTTACTGACTCGTTCAGACCGCAGCAAAACCAATATTCCCATTGTTATTGCTGCTTGCTTGTGCTCCACAATATCTGTGAGAGTAAGGGGGAGACGTTTATGGCGGGGTGGGAGGTTGAGGCAAATCGCCTGGCTGCTGAATACATGCCGCCAGACACCAGTGCGATTAGAAGAGCACAGCAGGAAGTGCTGCACATTAGAGAAGCTCTGAAAACCAGTTTCATGACTGGCCAGGGTACCATGTGACACTTCCGTTTGTTTCTCCTTGATGAAAACCCACCCCTTCGGTTGACGCTAATTCCCTGTAAGCCACCCATCCTCCCCACTTCGATCACAGCTTGCTTGCAAAGGAAATAAAGTCACTATCATTTAAAAAACATGTATTCTTTATTAATTGATTATAAAAATAGGGAGATAACTCACAAGGTAGCCCAGGTGGGATGTGGGAGGAGAGTAGGAAGGAAGGAAAAGGCCATTTCAAAACTTGTTGAATGACAGCCTTCTGTTGCTTGGGTTATCCACTGGGGTGGAGTGGTTGGGTGCCTGGATCCTCCCCTCTTCCCCCACGTTCTTGGGCGTCTGGGTGAGGAGGCTATGGAACTTGGGGAGGAGGGAGGGCGGTTAAACAGGGGCTGCAGCGGCAGTGTGTGATCCTGCTGCCGTTCCTGAACCTCTACCAGATGCCGGAGCATGTCCGTTTCATCCCGCAGTAGCCTCAGCGTTGCCTCATGCCTCCTCTGATCTTCCTGACGCCACCTCTTATCTCAAACGTCCCTCCTGTCCTCATGTTCATCGGCCGCTTTCCTGTACTGTGCTACTGTGTCCCTCCACACATTCTGCTGAGCTCTGTCAGTGCCGGACGACTGCATGAGCTCAGAGAACGTTTCATTGAGCATGCGTTTTTTTCGCCGGCTTATCTGCGATAGCTTTTGGGACAGAAGAGGGAGGCTTGAAACATTTGCAGCTGCGGGAGGAAAAAAAAGGAGTGAAGTATTTTAAAAGATACATTTTACAGAACAATGGTTATACTCTTTCACAGTGAACAACACTATTCACATTACATAGCACATGTGATTTTGGTACAAGGTCACATTTTGCATCTTATATTGAGTACCTGCGGCTTTGTTGTTAGAGATCACACACACAGTGCTGGGCAACAGAATTCGGCTTGCAGGCGGCCATGGTAAGCCATAGTCTTTCAGCTTCGCCAGCAACCTTCATAACAGCAGCGCTCTCCTTTCCCAAACCAAGCAAAGCTCGTTGAGTTGGCCATTAAGTGCTGCGGTTTTCGTGTTAACATGCAGCAGCAGAAACCAAACTAACCCCCTCTCCCACATCCAATTCTCTGGGATGATTTGATTTAACGCTACTAAATTCGACATAAACTCATAATGTAGACCAGGCCTAAGAACAGGGCCTCAGACTGTCACTGTAAGAGAAGGCCCGTAAACAGACAGACTGTGATTTTGATTCTTTCTTTTATACCTCTATAACTAGCTAAGTGATAAGAATACACCTAAATTCTTAAAGTATAGGCCTTCGCAGACAGGCCTGAATATCTATATCCTAACAGTGCTTAGTCACTTTCACCTGTGTAATCAATTTCCCTTGTTTGTGTGGGAGATCTTCCATAGGAAGGAGAGAGAAATATCTTTACAAAAAGGGAAGTGTGATTGTAAAACCACAAAACTGGCCGGGTGCCTTCCGTAGATGTCAACTCATTGGGGCAGGGAGTGTCGTTTTGGTCTGTGTTTGTACAGCCGATAGCAAACAGAGCCCTGGGACATGACTCCTAGGTGCTGCTGTAATACACATCATAAATAAATAACAACAAGCATAGGGGCAGAGGGAGGGGGTGAAACTCTTCAACTCTGCCTTCTTTTTTCTTTTTTTAATTGAGTAGGTTTCAGGTTGCCGGATTCCTTTTAACAATATTTTAAATGGAATTATGAGGGCAGGGTCGCATTTTCATTGCTGGTGCCGTAAACAGACACAACCCCGCTATAATTAGCCCGAGCTCTGAGAGCACGCAGCTCACATGACCTCCAAACAAGGCTTTGCCCCAAACCCACATGGCCTTCCTGATCTCCAGGCAGAACTGAACAGTTCCTGCTGCTACAGAGTTCCCCTGCCAAGGCAGTGGCCACTTAATAACCTTGTAAGATGCCTGAGAAGGAAACATGATGTCCTAGAAGCATGACTGTCCTGTCAAAACACAAGCTTGGGGCATAAAATGGATGGATAGGCTGCAGCTGGGTTTGGAAGGTAAAAAATCAGGAGCCAAGTGGGACCAAGTAAAGTCAGCTCAGTTCTATGTGTAATAAGCCTCCAGCTTTCAGCTGTGTTCTTATCAGCTAAGCAGCAGAAGATCTGGTCAATTCTTGGTTGGGAGCCCTCCAAGGAGAATCCAGCAGGGAGTGGAATTGGTAATTCAGTAGCCACTGGTCTTTCCTCTGAGTCAGTGCTCCAGCTTTGGGAGAGCTCTGATAGTAGAATACCAGGGGTCAGATGTTCCTCTCTGATACACTTGGTGCAGCCCTTTTAATATTCATGGGATTGCGTCTGTATAACTCAAAGGACAATAGGGGCTTGCATTGCCAAAGCAAGGTACAAACATTGTCTGACCCTGACACCACTGCTGGGGAGATCAGTATCATCATCTTGGTGTTACAGATGGGGAAACCAAGATAGGTTCAGTGAATTGTCCAAGGCCACACAGCCTATTGGCAGCAGAGGCAGGACTAGGTCCTAGGAACTCCTGGCTCCAACCCCTATGCTCATTCTGAGTCTTCTTAGACCATACAGGGTGTTGTGTTTTATGGGTGTACTATATAACCAAAGTCCTGACCAACTGTTTGCTCATTAAAAATCAGATGGAATTTTTCATAGCAGGATGTGGGCTTCGGCCCTGGATTCCTGGCCAGAACTGAACCCCTCTACAGTTCTGTTATGTGCAGATCTGGAATTTTAATTTGGGCCCCATCGCTAGGTGAGTCCTTGCCATTCTGGGATTTGGAATGTCCCCAGTCTGACGAGTGGCGCTCAGCCAGCCTGGCCTATTACAGTTCCTCCATTGATATCAACTGTTCTACTGTCTCTCCAGGTGCGGTGGCCCGATATCCTCCTTTGGGTGATCGCTTCCCAGTGAGCCAGCATAACACTGACAAACCCCGGTCACCAGCGGGCAGAATCGAACCGGGGACCTCTGGAAATTACTGCATGAGCCTCTACAGCATGAGCTAAAAGCCAACTGGCTGGTAGCTCAGGCTGTAGAGCAGACTCATTTAATCTCTCTCTCTAATGGTCTCGGTGCCACTAGATGGGAAAGAACACCACATCCAGGAGGTGTGTGGGTTACACCAGCATACATTGCGCCTGCCCCACTGGAGAGGAGATTCACACTGAGCCCAGGGAAAACTTGCTCCCCCAAATTGCGTGTGCTTATAGAAGAGCGAGGTGAGAGGTGATGAGCAGGACAGTGAGCAGAGGGGAATCCAACCCAGCCTGATGTGAGAGGGCTGTTGTGCAGCCACCCAGTTAGTCCTGCTTAGGGACATATTTAGCTAAATGCCTCATTGACACGCTTAGCATCACACTTAAGTCCATGCCTCTTCAGAGATGCCCATTCTCTACCTCTACCTCGCCCTGGGCACAGGCAAGTAAGCCATCAGGTGTCAGGGGGTTGAGACTTTTTTTAGTGCCCAGTGCAGAGGGGTATTTTATCTTACTAGGGCCAGCAAGCAAACTCCATTCACTCTTGGGTTAGACCGCAACAACCTTGCATGCTTGCAAGATCAGAGCAAATTGTGTAGCCTGATACAGAACTGTCCCAAGACAGTGGCTTTGTGGCTTCACCTATTGTGACCTTGCTGTTACATTCCCAGAGATTTTCCCTAAAGTTACGTAACAGTGCAACCACTTTTGAAAGAGAGAATCATATGATAGAAACTGAAGATGGACAAGAGCTACGAGATCATCTAGTCAACCGCCACAGGGATCAATGCAGAATTTTCTGCTACAATAGTTATGTTCTATTAAACCCTCCACCAGCTATTCTCACTGTGTGTGCTTCAGATGCTCTCTGGAGTTTTACCCAGTCTAGTTTTAAAGAGACACTAGCTGGTTAAATTAGGTCCTAGGATGAAGTTTTATAAAAAGGTTTAAATAAAATAACAATGAGACATTATCTTTCTAGAGCACCTTCCATTTAAGGATCCAATCCCATGGAATTTACATGAACACATTCTGATTTCACAACACTCCTGTAAGGCAGGTAAATATCACCTCTATCTTACAAATTGGTGGGGGAAACAAGCACAGAGCCGCTAAGTGATTTGACCAAAATAAGACACCAAGTCAGTGGTGGAGCTTGATTAAAAACGCAGCTGTCTTTGCTCCCTCCCAGGCTAGTGTTTTGACCATAAAAATAATGGAAATTTTGCCCCAAAATTTTTGTTTAAAAAAAAATTCCTCTGAAAGCAGAGTTTTGTTTGGATAGAAATATTGCCTTGCTGTGTTTGCAACCCAAGCAGTGGAGCATTGTGCAAGGGGCAGAAAATGAAATGGGCTGAACAAAAGTGAAACTGTCTATTCAATTTTATTGTTCTGGTTGATGGAAATGAAAAAGCATCCAAACAAATAGCAGCAATGGTAGAAAGTCAAATAGATTTTTAAAATTATTTCACTGGTCATAAATCTTCGGTGATATTAATATTTTAGAAAGGAAGTTCAAGTCTGGAGTAATAGGATTGAGGCTCTGTGGGAGTTTTGCCTGAGATAGGACTGAAGGATTTAGACCATGATTTTTAGTGTTGTTTTAAATAACCCAAGCGATGGAGCTCGAATGATCTCCTTTGGGAAATGACTGCACAGTCTAATCATTCTTACGGTTAGGCTAAATACCAGGAATTTTTTCTTAAGCTGTACTGCGATTAACTTCACTCCATTACTGCAAGTAATATCCAAATCAACATACTGGCAGCTCCACTAGAGATAAGGCTGAAAGTCACTTACTGTTTAAAAGACGGATTCTGAGTGCTTTAAAAGCCACATGCTGACTCAGGTGGTCTTGAAATTTGCTACGTTCATGGGGGTGCAGGGTAGGGACAGTGGTCCAAATTTGGAGTCCTAATATCAAAGCAGCTTTTGTCCTCTGATTCACAAAGGTTTCCATGTGGACTCTGGGCTGGCTTTCTGCTACGCACTCTGGTTTAATGGTTGTCCTGGATAATTCTAGTTACAACTCCTGACCCCTCATGCAGCTGAGTATCTTCCAATCGTATCCAAACCATTCGAACTGCATTTGAACTATAGGCACAGTGAGGCAGTTAGTGTCTATATAGAGAGCAGAATGAGGGACAGTTTGGAAGAACTCTGAATTTACAACATTCCATTCTCTGTAGGGTTGATTATATCCAGATGGTCCATATTGCAACCTATGTTTAGAAGTGAACTAATATCTTAGGGCTAAGAGTGAATTCCTCTAATCCCCAGATGCCTTGCTCAAGCAGTCAGTAGTTTCAGAATGGTTCTTTATACATCTTGAGATTTCTTATTTTTGCATAAGAACAGCCATACTGGGACAGACCAATGGTCTGTCTACCCCACTATCCTGTCTTCTGACAGTGGCCAATGCCAGGTGCTTCAGAGGGAATGAACAGAACAGGGCAATTATCAAGTGAGCCATCCCCTCTCGTTCACTCCCAATTTTTGGCAATCAGGGGTATAGGGACACCCAGAGCATGGGGTTTTATCCCTAACCATCTTAGTTAATAGCCATTGATGGACCTATCCTCCATGAACTTATCTAATTCTTTTTTGAACCCCATTATAGTTTTGGCCTTCGTAACATCCCCTAGCAAGGAGTTCTACAGGTTGACAACGCGTTGTGTGAAGAAACACTTCCTTTCGTTTGTTTTAAACCTGCTGCCTATTAATTTCATTGGGTGACTTCTGGTTCTTGTG